ATTAGAAAAAGCATATTATGAGTTCAGGTTAATATACTCCAAAGTTGACCAGAGGACTTTCATACTTAATCAGTGCTGTTCAGCAAAACTCATGGTTCAGAGCCATGATGGAGACTGAGAACTGTAGTCTGACTGCATTCCATACAGTTATTTACTTGGAGATCATGTAACACTGATCCCAAATTAGGTATTGTTTCCCATGACCTTTTTGCCTGTTAGGTTGGCCACAGGAACCAACCAGGTCCACACCACTGGAAGCCAGTGAAGCTTTTCCCAGGACCCTGGCACACTTCGGAGTAGATGTAAAGGGAGATATGATCTGCAGCATCCCTGAGTCACAACATCTTTTCACAGGGAACGAGTTCCCTATCCCTGTGGGCTGGCTCTCAACCTCAAAGTCCCACAGCCAGTTCCACATAGTTTTCTTATTAAATCCAAGCTTTGGCCCATCCTGCCTGCTGGCTTTGCATTACCCTAAATCCTGATGATATTGGTGAGATCAGCTCCCCAGGGATACAGGCCCCTCTTTCAGATGTCCTAAAGATAAGTTAAAATACGGAATGTCTCACCAATTTCTAATTTCTCCAGGGAAAAAACCCAACTATATTGGCCCTTGAAAACATCTACAACCAACCATCCCACATGGCAAATCACCCCCACAGTCACCAAATGCCCAATGAGTAATTGGGAGCAACCTGCCTCCTACAGCTCTTAATGCAAAACAGCTGATCCATAGGTGATTAATCTCAAGGAACCTTTTTCTCTCCCTCTGAATGAACAGCCTTCCTTGGGAAGCTTCACACTCCACACAGCAGAGGGAAGCTGGGAATAATTTCCTGCACTGCTGGATCTAAGTCCTGCCCCAGCAGAGCAATGTCACCCAGACACACAGAGCTTCAGGCTGCCATTCTGGCACTTAAAGCTTCTTGCCTCTTTTTCAGGTGTTGTCTCTCTGAGACACCACCACCATCAAGGTGATTAGTTTAGTTAAATTAGTTGTTTAGTTTAGCTTAACATTTACTTAAAACTGAGCATTTGCAACTGGAGCTGAAATATCTGAAAATGTAATTCTCAACCAGACCTAGAAGAAAATGCCGATATCAGTGGAAAATGCCAATATCTGTTGCCAGGACTGCAAGACACAGCTTATTGCAGTACAAGGCCAGCATTAAAAAAGATTAATTTATGGAATTAATTTATGTTTGTAGCCCTAAAATTGTCTGTTTTTCAGTACTCTGCACAGAATTTCCGGACCTTCTATCCACTTACCCCCACCAATCACTGATTGTTCTGTTCACTTACATTCCATCTTCCTGCTCCAACTCTACACTCTCTTCTCCCCTCTCTTCCCCAGGAAGCAAAAGAGAATCCAAACTACACACTTGAAGTGCACTGATACTCCCCAGTGAAAAGCAATATAAAGACAAATATAACTGGGTATGAGATAGAAGAGCAAAACACATTCTAAAATGGAAAGAAACTTGCCATTTATAAGGGTAGGAATTATTTTTTTTCTAGGTAGAGAGGCACAGCTGATAGAAAAAGCTGATAAGCTTTGTGACCCACAAGCATATTCTCAGATATCCAACAGGGATGAAGAAGCATCTGCATTTTTCATATAACACTTCATAGATTAGAAATTTAAACGTGTCCTTGAGCACAGGATACACTGGTTTCTCCCATGACTGTACTTGTTAAGCCACATTGGCCAACATGGTGCCCCACAATTAACCTTACTCACCACCTTTTAAGGAGGAAAATTCCCTTTAGGTCATGCCTAAGGCAAAGTTCCTCAGAATTTTGCTACATGCTCCTTAGGGTCCCTAGAAATGTTGCATGTCCTTGTATCTGCCCCACGGTTCAAACTGCACCTAGAGGCAGTCGAGCACACACGCCCACCTCGCCCTTTTGCTTTGGGTGTCCCTAAATTAGGCTGCTACTGCTTGAAGGGGATTGCAAACCTGTGTTCCAGCAGCAGGATGCACACACGGTGTGTGTCAGCTCCTTGCAGTTTGCCAGGCATAATCAGTCCCTGGTTTTAAGGCACAGATACAAGTCAACTCACAAGGCAGCCACGCTGCCTGCTGGCATTCCTGCTGTCCCAAGCTTTTGCTGCAGTCCTGCTCCTGGAAGCCAATCCTCTCATCTCTGCTTGTGCAGCTCCATATGAAGCTGTCTCTTAGCCACTGATGAAGGCTGTCTCAACTCACAGGACGGCTTTCACACTGGAATCTGTAAGAGATTGTTCCCAACATTTGCACAGCCAATGCTGATATGTGAAAGATGCAACTTTTCAACCAGCACAGAGAGATCCAGAACAGTGTGTTTGCAAACAACTGAAAGTTGTCATGTCAGCAAAACACAAAGCTGCCTGCATAACTGTGGCTTGAGTTTTGTGACCAAAATCCACACTTTCAGCTTTACAGCAGATATCGAGCTTTGATCTCATTTATTCTGGGATTAATTAGGAACAACATCTCCTGTAGTCACTGCTTTCAAAGGTTAAAGCTGGTATAAAGCAAGGAGAGTCAGGACCAAGGAATCAGTCAGGCTACATCTTGTGAACACAAGTACTTAACAGCAGTCTCTACTCACTTTGAGTTTGCTTATTAAAAAAAACAGGTCTTACTACCAGCATCAAGGATGTTGGAGGGCATGCTCACTTCCTGAAATACAGTCAGCATTTCCTGGGTTCAAGTTTTTCACAGGCCAAAAATAACTGCGTTCCGAGTGAGCTTCTGCTCTCTGCTATTGAAAACTGCCTGTTTTTCCATTCACTGCCAAGTAAGATTGGACAGAAGCTTTTCACAGAAAAACAAAGTTTATTCTTCTTTAGTTTCTGTGAGGACATTTGAAGAGAAGAACGCAGGGAATGGCAATGCAAATACTGTCACCAAAACCAGCAGGAGGTCACGTGAATTTATTCTCCCAAATGTCTGACTTCACATCCTTATAGAAAAAAAACCCCAAAATCTACCCCTCATAAAACCAAAGAAACAACAATACCAAATAAAAAAAAAGCTTCACTGTTGCTTGGAAAATTGTGGTTTGCTGTTCCACCAGAAGTTTCTCATGCACAGAAGAACCTGTGCAAGGTAAGAGTGAAAGCTGGCAGTGAGAGACTGTAGTTCCTGGTCTTATGTCAGCCTGCCATGTAAATGGTTTTTTGCTACTTCTGATCAAGCTCCAAAATTCCACAAACTATTCTGAAGACTTCCAGCAACTGAGGTTAATTCACCACAACTTCTTTATTTTTGAAGGCTGTTGCTTCTTGCTTTAGAAACAATGTCAGTTATACCAGCTGTCAAAGAATTTTCAAAACCACACTATATGAGATCTTTCTGTGTTGTTTAGTATGAAATTGCATGGGATGAATGGAGACCATGACACAAACTGGTATAATTTCTGGTAGTTTCAGCCAGTTCCACCAACATTTTTTTTACTATTATTTCTCACATTAATAACAGAAAAGAAGGCTTTGCCCAAGCAGGCAAACAAGCTACAGGTTTGCTTTTACCATGATAACCACAACAAAGGATATATTTGTGTGGAGACTTGTTAAAAAGTTATTGAGAAGCAGACAGCATTATCCTGATAAATTTATTGAAGGTGGAATGGAGAAGGACACTTGGATCAGGAATACTGATCCCCAAAACCCAGCAATCAAACAAACAAATAAAAAACCTGTATAAAATACATAATTTTGGTTGTGGATCAGTTAGTAACTTTTAAGGTTAAATAAAAAAATGCACGCATATATTACAAAAAGACAAGGTTTTTTACAGCTTAAATATTTTTTTTAATAAATTACATTTACAGAGAACAGTAGACATAAAAGGTTTAGTCCTACCAAAAGTGACTTTTGAACATTTGTACACTGTACAGTATATAAACTGTACACTCATGCAGTACAGCTGCAAATAGAAGAAGAAATTGTGGGAGTGGAAAGGGCGAAAGTCGAAACAAGGGGAAAGCTGAAGCTTCTGATCTTCGGTTACCAGTGCCAAACCTTCATGATTCTTTACACATACCATGTTCAAAATGAACTAAACTGGCTTTCAACTTTCATAAACAGCCCGCATGTAAACATAATGAAAAACACTCCATAGCTTGGTGTTCTGAAAATATTAATGCATGGTGTTTTTCTTTTTGATACCTTCTAAACTTCATTATATACACGACCTCAGCTTTCAAGTTTTTGTTCTAGTCTCAAGCAACTTAAAAACATACTATTTCCTAGGAGTGAGCAGAAGTGAGATGACATTCTCAGAAAAATATGAAGAGCAAAGGCTTAAAAAGTCCTAAAAGTTCAAAAATTATAAAAAGCTTTAGGAAAATCCCAAACATGTTGCTAATAACATCTTTGTTCCAGTGCACCAAGCTGAAATGGAGTTTTATCACAGAATGAACCACTGTCAGGAGATGATCCATTTGCCAGGCACCTGGCAAATCTAGTACATAGCTTTGTCTAGAACCAAGACTAGAAAATGCAAACTTCCACCCATCTGGGCCTGCTGAAGGATAAAGTTTTTTTTCTGACTGTAAAAAGACACTGATAAAAAAAGTGAAAACCAATCAGTTTTTGATTTGGAAACATTCTTGCAAATATATAAAACTTTGTAAATCTAAATATTAACTACAAAGAGGCTTTAGTGTGTTAGTAAAAAAAACCCATAAAACACACTATATAACAAAACATATGGCTTGTTAAAACTGTATATAAAACAATTCAAAATATTTTGTCCATGATTTCTGCTATTTGTCTTCACACAGTAAAACTAGAAAAGGAGTCTGTCTTTCCTGAGGAAGAAAAATAGGCACTGGAAACAGTTCAGCCTGTCTTCAAGGGGCTTATTGATGAAGTTCTGACAACTCCATTCCTTGTGGAAGCCCTTCAAGTGAAAAGGTAGCACCTCCTTCATCATTGAATTCTACTGCTTCTCTTCCATATTTGTTTGGGCAACAAAGCAGTTATTTGCTTATGCTTTAAGATCTGAAACAAAAGAATAGGAAAAGCACAAAGGTAAATTACTAGGTCTTTTCTTCTAGAAATTGAACTAGGTACATGAGAATACTGCAGGCTTTAGATACTAATGAGGTGTTGGGAAGATGCACCAAGACACTGTCACATGACTCATAACAATCCAGTCAGAGCAGGTACATGACCAATGGTATCTGATGGCCCCTAAACATTTTACCCAAATTATCTCTTTATGATTAGGCACATTCCAACTGGACCACTTTTAGAACACTTATTACTTACTACCAGCCACCTGCTAAACAGCTGGTAACCTGCAAAGTTGGTCTGACTCCATGACTTTGGATCACATAATCAGGCAATTAAGACACCACTGCTTTTCAAATGTTTTATGTCTATAATCTCAGTATCAGCTGTGCATCACACATGCATATGTTGCTGCTGCTATTTCTTCCACACAATAATGCCAGGTGCTTTTGGAGTTTTCTCTTTTGAGGACTGAAAATACAGCTCTTATTTGACAAGAAGACTAAAGGCCAAGGGAAGTTACAGTGCAGGAAGTTCAAGACTACATGCCCAGCCTAACTCATCACATGAAACATGCACCAGCCTCTAACCAGGCTGGTTTCCAACAAAGCACCCACAAGCCCACTTACACTGGTATTTCCACCTTGTTGCACACATAGCAACTCTATAAGGGGAGCCACCTGGATGAGCCAGGACACCATGCCCTTTGGTCTTTGCTCCCATTTTGATAGCACTTCCCATCCCTTCAACTAATCTCTAGCTCAGCATCACTCCAGGACAAGGTGTCAGGAGATGGTACAGGAGAGCAGAGTATGGTGACATATGGTACACAGCTCTGTAGGTGATGACAAAAAGAAAGCTGTCCCTAGCCTGATTCCCATAAGGTCCCTGGACAGGCTTGAAGAATTTTTATGATTCATGTGTTTAAAATCCAAGCAGGTTTACTGCTTTACCTTAGTGATGATACTAAAGAACACGATCAAAAAGGCAGTTGTGTGTGTGCGTGTTTGTTTGCTATTTCCTCATGTCTGTGCAGTGAGAGGGTCTGAATATGAAATAGGGGTCTGTCACTTTACAGCCTGAGGGATAAGCATCAGTTTTTATTACCCCACCTACCCCCAGAACACACAAAATGTTCTGTTCTCAAACAGAACTGAAGCAAGCACAGCTGCATCTGGTGCCTCAGCGTGACATAACAACAGACCAGTTTCCGATGCTAAACCTTTAAGGGTGATGCAGGAGCACAGTTGGTTAGCCCAGTAAAGCAGCACATCACGTGGACCAGGAATAATAATCTGAGTAATACTTCATTTGGCTTTCAGTATTACTCATTGTCAACTAACAGGATCTGACTCAGTTCTTACGACACACCACACCTTCCTCTGCAGCTCTGCAGACTGTTCCAAGTCCGTTTCCTGGTTTCGTGACAGGTTCATCAGCAGTTTTTTCTGCATCACAGAGTCAGGTTTTTTATACTCAGTCCTAACTCTCTCCCACCTTCACACTCATCCATGTTTTCTCATATTCGGAGATTTTTTCACCCCTCTTTTCAACATTGTCTTCAGCAAATACCAGAATTAATAGACACAATTGCTTGGTTGGTAATTCAACAGAAGTATCAAACTTGGCAGAACAAAAAACTGCAGCAGTAAGGTGCCACTTGCTTTCACACTGCTGTGCATTTTGAGAATGTTTAAATGGATTATCAGCAGACTCAAAAGTGGACGTGCACAAGGCAGTCCATTAAAAATGCACTTTTGCAGCAGTAATAACATTTTAAAAATAAAAATACTATTTACTTCATCATTATAATTTTTAAATTTTTATTTTGTGCACGTTTTATAATGTATGTCATACTTGAATATTGTAATAATTGTATATAACTTATAAATACACATAAATTTGGTGTCCATGTTCGAAGTATTTTACTGATGTGGTAGACAATCACAAAAGGATTGGTGACCACTCACCTACAACACAAAAATCAGAAATTAGTATGAAAGGCCCACAGTTACACCACTCAAGTAAGGACTGTATAACAGACAAAATGACATTTTTCCTTTTTTTTTCCAAGAAAGGAATATCATTCACGGTCAGGCTCTGTGTCAGTCAGCACACTCACCCGGGACAGAGAGCTTCACCCTCACATACCTTCTTCAGTGCAGCTGGAAGAGTTGTTCGGGTGCCCCCCATTTTCAACTTCTGTATCCTGGGTCAATTCTGCAAGGACAAAGGCAATACTCAGACAATCCTGGACCTCACAACACTCCGCCTCTCTGCCCCAGATGGATCAAGAACACTCTGACCGGGATTTGGACCATCTGTTTGGCAACAATAGTAACCCTGACCAACATGCCTCACTCCCATGGGATCACCATCCAACACCTCCCTTGTCTCCTCTGTTTCTGATCTGCACTGTCTTCAGAATCCCTCACCCACCCTGTAAAGGCCAAGCACAGGAAGCACTCAGCGCCCAGGGTGCCACCCATTAGGTGGCATTAGGCAAAAGTCTGAACAAAGAGTGCTCCACAGTCCAGGCACTTACCCCCTTCATTCATACCATGGCCACCTGCACTGTTACTGCGTGCATACACAATACAGAAAGGCTCCTGGAGAGCATCCATGAGGATGGTGAAGGGTCTGGAGGGGAAGCCTTATGAGGAGTGGCTGAGGTCACTTGGTCTGTTCAGCCTTGAGGAGACTGAAGAGAGACCTCACCACAGTCCACAACTTCCTCGTGTGGGGAAGAGGAGAGACAGGTACGACCTCCTCACTCTCATGGCCAGTTACAGTACTAGAGGACATGGCATGAAGCTGTGTCAGGGGAGGTTTAGGCCAGATATCAAGAAAAGGTTCTTTCACCCAGAAGGTGGTTGGGCACTGGAATAGGCTCCCCAGGAAAGTGGTCACAGCACCAAGCCTAACAGAGTTCAAGAAGCATTTGAACAACACTCTCAGGGTTATGGTGTGATTTTTGGAGTGTCATCTGAAAGGCAGAAGCTGGAGTCAATCCTGATGTGTCCCTTCCAACTCACCAGATTCTATGATTCTATGAAGGGATCATGGCCAGTTTGCCTGCCGGGTTGGCAGCACTGCCTGCTCCATAGAACAGGCACTTACCTTCCTGATTTACACCATTCTTAACTATCTGCTTGTCTTTCAGGGCCCTGTCATTCTCATTCAATGCTCTGTCTGAAAAGAGATCAGAGAACAACTGCAGTCCTCAGGAGTACAGCCCATTGCTTCTGCCCCTCCCCAGCACAGGCCACTGCTCTGTGCGGCCCAGGGCTCAGAGCACACCTTCCCCTCTGCACGTTTAAGTACTGCTGTGCTATCAGCAAAAGCCCTGCTTGAAATTGCTTTGTACACATCCAATTTCTTTGGATGAAAGAAAGCTGTTCCATACCCATTACAATCCATGCAGGAAGAATAAACATCAAACCCCAGGGGCTTCTGAATTTTTTTGAGTTTCTTTTTCCTTATTGTCATAACTGGTGATTTTTTTCCTTTATAGGAAAGACTTCTGCCTTCTCCAACCCTTTATTATTAGCCACTTGTGGAAGAGTTAGTGAGTGAATGAATCACTAGTGCAAAAGACTGGGGAAAAAACTGACATTTGTTCTAGACTTGAACAATAAGGTTGAATTTCACTAGCCCTTTGGAGTTAAAAGAACTTCTAGAAAAAATACAGGTCCCAGAACTTCCTTAAAATTTGCACTGACTGGACTAAGAAAACAAAACTGGAGCTTTTCTTAACTGCCTGATGAATGCAGTCAATAGGCTCTTCTAAAGCATAAAGCAAGTGGAAGATACAGCAGGCTTTGTTCCATAGAGAAGCACATTTCTGGATGAAGTATCTCCCAAATATGAATTCTGCAAGCTGGTAAGATCCCATCTCTAAATTGGTGATGAGGCTCTTATCTTTCTTCCGTGTTTAGTTCTTTTTCCCACAGATGGCAAAAGCAGCATCATTCTCATCATATCAAGAGGGAAGATAAAGCCCCAAGAAGGTGTTGCTCTGTGTTGATTAACAAACACAGCCTCCAGGTCTTTCTGATTTCTCCTCTACTGATCTACCCATCAACATTTACTGTTCCTAAAGCAACAGGTTCTTCTAGGCCAACAGGGAAATGGCAAACTTTGTACTCAGGACATGCTAATATGGCCTGGACTACAAAAGGCCATGTGCAAAATTACTTTTCCCCTTCATATTCCTCTGGTTTAGGGCTCCATCTCACTTCTTACCTGCTTCAGGTTCTTCATTCTCACAATGAACAGCATGTGAAAATGCAGCTGCAAGAAAACAGAAATCCTTTTCCAGAAACATGTATGAAGGTGGCACAATAGTCTGCAAAATATGCAACTCAGCCCTCAAGTGACAACTTTAAAAAGCTTTAAAAAGCTTATAACACTTTTTAAAGATATTCCTGAGAACCACTATGTTATGCCACTTTAAGGACTCGCAATTAATTTAAACTTCAACTTCCCTCCAGCAACCACTTAAGGTCCAGACCATAACCAACATTGTTTATATTTATGCCTACAACTTTACAAAAGTCTTGCCAATGTAGATCTATTGGTAAAGCACAGATCTGACATAAAGAGCCAGAGATAGCTGAGAAGGGAATCTGCATCTACTTTTTTTACTTCATCTGTGTTGCACTAACACTGTAACTTTCAACCCTTGTTCTTTGCAGACCTTAAAGAATCTTTAATAGAAATGTTCTAAAGCACATTTAAGTGTGGTACCAAAATTAGGTTTTTTGGGGGGTTTATTGGGCTTTTTTTCCTACCATCCTCCTAATTTTCTCACTTTCAGATTCATCCATAGTCTCAGCTTTAGCAGCCTCTGAGCCATGGGCTAGAACCAGAGCTTTAACAAATGTAAGGTACCAGACTGAGCACCCACATGAAGGCACTGTGAACTCAACACCAGAACAGTCCAAGAGGCCACTGAGCCTCCCACCTGATGGCAGGAGCTCTGGCCTTCCCCCACTGAAACACTGTTTTGTCTGGTAACAGAACATTTCTTAAGAATCTTCCCCTGCTCTCCACAGTATGCGGAGAGCAGGGGAAGATTCTTAAGAAATGTTCTGTTACCAGAAATGCCTTGGGGGTTAGTTTTGTGTGGTTCCTAAAAACAGATCACAGTCTTGGCAACAAAACTCATATGTTAAAGCTTATGATAGCCAAATTCACCCCTGTGAAAAGGGCACAGACAAAAGGAGTTGCCCCCTTCCTCAGCTGCTCACTGTATAGAGTGATTTCTACATCCCAACACACCAGAAACCCAGAAAACAGCACAGTATTGCTGCAAATTAAGGAAGTAAAAAAACCCCAAAAGATTCCAACAAAACACTAAGAAAAAAAACAAAACAAAAAATCCACAGTCAAACAAACAAAAACCCCCAACAAACAAAACAAACAACCAAACCACCCCCCCCCCAAAAAAAAAAAAAAAAAACCAAAAAAAAAACCAACCAAAAAAACCCCACCTCAATGCAGATTAGAACGGAGAGCAGAAGCCCAGGCAGAGATCTGGACAGGAAGAGAGGAATGACAGATTGCCCTACAGGGTGCACTTTTCCAGCCCTCATCCTGAGGCCAGCCCCAATTCTCCATTGTTAGAAAGGTTATTCACCTCCAAAGACAGCTGCTGACCAGGAAAATCTCAGGCCATTCACTGTCAGTAACTTTGCCAGCCCCACCAACACATTCACTAGGTGCAGGTCTCTATAATCATCCAATACTGGACCTCAAGTGAGATTTTGATTCTGTATGTGCACACTTTGAATACCAATTCAAAAGCTCAGACCATGCAAAAAAAAGAGCAAACCAGACTCCCTGCTCCAACCAAGAGCAGGTGTTTAGAAACATTAATACCCCAATACACGTTTCTTACCTCCCTCTGAATTAGATTGTTGTTGGCTGTTCCCAGGGAAAAGTTGCTCATGTTCTCCTATAAAGAAATGTATTTGTTTTAGAAAGTATGTGTTAATGAACTGGAAAAAATAACGACACTCACAAAAAACTTACTCCTTTACCTCTCCAATGAAAGATTACACTGACACAGAATAAAAACTGACAAGCCCAGACCAAGTACCAGTCTGATTTCCACACATTTGTGACACTATCTTACCTGAGCCATTCGCTGGACTGTTATTCTGAGCAGTCCTTCTTTCTATTCCACATTTAATTATACCTGCACACAAATAGAATAATTGGAGAAATTACTCAGAAACAAAGTTTTGCACCTCTGGAAACTTGCTGACAACCTCCATCCGTTCCATCCCCCTCTCCAACCCCCAAACCAAAAAATAATACACTTCACTGAAAACATGAAACTGAATACTTGACTTGGAGGAAGAACAAAAAATGAAATACTGTTTTTAGGGAAAGACAGTCAGTGAGAGATCAACAGAATGGGTTGTTCCTGTGACAGCAAGTCAGAACACATCTAATCAAATCCAAGGTGGAGCTTAATAATTTCTGATTATATGTCTTGTCCTTAAAACAGCAAATTTCTTCTGTTTGATTATACCTGTGCAATGCTTATCCTACCAAGGTATAACAGGTTTGTTTTCTTGCATGTTCAGACCCTTATTGTTTCAAGGGAATTAACTGAATTGTTTTGATTCTAACTGATGATCAGTTTTGAGTGACATTCTTTGTGTGTTAACACCAAGAGCAGTGTTGTTTAACACCACCAACTTAAACAAGGACACAGAAGGCACTTTTTTTGAAAGTTTGCAGATGATATCAAACCGGGGAGAGTAAGGAACATGCTGAAAAGCAGGCTTGCCACTCAAACTGACTTCAACAACCTAGAAAAACATGCTGGCAGAAAAGATGTGCTATTCAAAGGCAAATTCCTGAATCTCCTAAGTCACCCCATGGACCATTACGGGCTGGGCTCTGCCTGGCTGGGAAACAGCTCTGCTGTTTCCTTTCAGGAAAGGACCTGACAGCATGAACAAGCTCAGCATTACACAGAAAAATGTGCCCTTGCTGTAGAAGGCTTCCAAATACTGGGCTGTGTTAGCAGAATTGCAGTCAGCCCATCAACACAAATAATTCCTCATCTCTATTCGATATTTGGGACACCACATGTGGAGTACTCTCTCTAGTTTGTCTCCCAATTAATGTAAAAACACCATCTTTCTGAAGTTAGTCCAGCAAATGTCCACCAAGATGTTTAGGGGCAGGAGCAAGGAGGTGCTGAGAGAACTGGGTTTGTTCAGCCTCAAGAAGAAGGATAAGAGGATGATGGCTCACTGCAGTCTACAACTAACTACAGAAGACAAAGGAAACCCCTCTCAGAAAAAAAGAGGAGGCAATGGCTACCAGTTGCCAAAGGGCAATCCTTAGCAGAAATAAGGACAATATCCTTCCCTACAAGAGTGATTCAGCACTTAAACACGTGCTGAAAGAGGCTGGGAAATTCCCACCCTTGGAACTGTTCAAAGTTTGACTGGACAAGGCCTTAAGCAACCTGATCAAGCTTTGAAGTTGGTCATGCTTTGAGCAGCAAGTTGGATGAAACTTCCAGAGATATATTCTCACCTAGTTTATTTTATGATTCCATGCCAACAGAAACTAAATGGACAATGAACAGGAAAGCAAAAGGTCCACATGCAATATGTATCTATTTATGTCCTGATCAGAATATCATTAATTAGTCCTTCCCAGATGGGAGATGCCTCCAGTACTCTTCACCCTGCAGCCACCTCCAAGTGGTAGCCCCATCTGGAAGTCAACATGAATCTTCCATGCAGAGCAGGCATAGGATGAAGAAATATATTCCTGTTTGGGACTCTCTCCAACACAAGGAGAAAAGATAGTGTGCCACTCTTTTTCAAATCAGAAGACAATTTAACACAGAAATCCAAAAACATGGCAGAAAAAGATACAGCGACAGCCTATAATTACTATTTCTGATTAAATGGTCAGATTTACAAAAAAAGATACTTGAATTCAGTGTAGGGATGGATCGAAAAACAAATACAGAACTCTAAGATGATGGCAACACAAGCTGTCAGGAGGCACAGAAGGTTCCATTTATCAGTTGACCACACTGAGTTGTCAGACTGGACTCAGCATATCATATTCTGATCTGGTAGAAGCCTGGCCCAACAGTAAATGTGATCTTGAGGGCAGCTTTATAATGCTCTCAAAAAAGGCTGTGAAAACATACTCAGGTAAGAATGGGAGAGGCTACAAATACTTGGTAAGTAGAAACACACTGTAAATCAAACACCCAGTCTGAAGGAGAACTATGCAAATGCAAACTGCAGTGTTTCCTAGGACTCAGAGTCCAGTGTCAGAATGCAACAAAGTCCAGTACATTGTTTCCTTCAAATCTATTCATTTTTGCCTAAATTGGACTTGTTTCTTCTACTGATTTTACAAAACACTTGATGGTCAGAAATTTTCACACATTCTACACAACCTTAGATGAGTATAATCTGGAAGCACATAAAGCTCAGTTGGGAAGTGTTATACATACCTTTCCTGCGCAGGAATTCTAGGATTACCACTAGGATAACAAATGCAGTAAGGAGGGAAATAAGAATATTTCTATGTCGTTTGTGAGAACTGTCTCCTTTAAAAAAAAAATTAAAAAAAAAAGAAATCATACTGGTTAGTTAGAAAGTAACTGTATGATACACTAGTTCAGTAGAGCTACAACCCCAAATATGCTTTATAGCTATTTTTTAAAAAGTAACCTCAATAAATTAATGCACCAAAGTCAGTTATTAGCAAAACCCTGAGCCATCTCCAGGACAGTTACATGTTAAGTACCTCATTTCAGTGAAGGCACGTCACCCCTTGAAAGGTAATGGCTATTCCAGTTCTTGGCCTGTGAAAGGCTGAGGCAGATTTCAAACAAATGAAATTTCAGCAAATATCTTGTATCGGGTTTGCACTGCAAGGTTTTGATGGTTTCTGTGAGAAGGTGCCAGAAGCTGCCCCCATGTCAGACAGAGCTAATGCCAAGATGGATCTGCTGCTGGCCAAGGCAGAGCCCACCAGTGACTGTGGTAGTGTCTCTGGGATAACACTTGTAAGAAAAGGGAAAAACTGCTGGGCAACAACAGCAAGGGTGAGAGGGGAGTGACAATATCTGAGGGAATCTGCCCAACAGACACCAAGGTCAGTGTGGAAGGAGACGCAGGTGCTGGAGCAAGGATTCCCCTTCAGCCCATGGAGGTCCCCACATCAGAACAGGTGGATGCCTGAAGGAGGCTGTGACCCCATGGGAAGCCCACAGTGGAGCAGCCTCCTGGCAGGACCTGTGGCCCCATGGAGAGAGGAGCCCATGCTGGAGCAGCTTTGCTGGCAGGACTTGTGACCCCCAACCCCATGGGAAACCACACTGGAGCATTTGAAAAAGAAGCGTTGCCTGTGGGAAGGACTTGTGTTGGAGCAGTTCATGGAGACTGTCTCCTGTGGGAGGGACCCCACACTGGCTCAGGGGAGAGGGTGAGGAGGCCTGCCCCTGAGGAGGAAGGACACGTAAAATGAGCTGACTCAAGCCCCATTCCCCATCCCCCTGTGCTGCTCAGGGAGACCTGCTCAGGTAATGATATTGGGAGCGAAGTTGAGTCTGGGAAGAAAGGAGGGGTTTCAAGGAAGTGTTTTAGATTTGGTCTTGTTTCTCATTATGCTGCTCTGATTTTGACTGGCAATAAATTAAACTCATTTTCCCAAAGTCGAGTCTGTGATGGGAATGGCCAAATGACCTCTCTCTGTCCTTGCCTCAACCTATAAGGCTTTTATCATATTTTCTCCTTCCTGCCCTAGAGAGGAGGGGAAGTGACAGATTAGTCTGAAGGGCCCCTGGCAGCCAGCCAAGGTCAACCTGCCACATGCCTCACATCTAACAAGTTTCTCCAGTAAAGGAAGAATTCTGTACTAGTAAACCATGACAGTTACTTTTGCACAGAAATGAAAACTTTTGTCAGTTAGGGACTGCCTTAGACATCCTACAAACCAGATGGTTCCAAACATATTCTCACTTTGTGTTTAAAGAAACCCTAAAAATTCAAGCCCCAAGCTGAAGGCTGTCCCAAAGCAATAAGCAACAGGAGGAAAATTCTCTTTTCTATCTTATACCTCTCCATGAAGGAGGAAGGAACTATGCTCACTGACTCACGCACATGCTAGATGAGAAATTATTTTATCTTATGGCTGTTAGATGACTCACTTGAAATGGCTGAACAGTTTCACTCCAATTCATGGAGAGCAGTACAAAGAGGACAAGTTCCTAGCATTAATTACATAAGGCCAAAAGGTTCAGAAGAGATCTTCTGAGACCTTCTAATCTTTATTATTACTCAATCAAGTCATGGCTAAAGGTTTTGTTCTGTGGAGATCCCTGCAAAAAGTATCCTTCTGGGGGATCAAACTGTCATCCTCATACTTTTCATAAACTTTATACACACTTTTAGCTGACAAATCACTTCTGGTGCTTTTTACTCTTCAAATTCAACTTCCTGGGCAGTCAGGAGAAACCTTACAAAGGCCATGCTGCTTCCCAGACAAACCTCTCAGACCTGTGTTTGCAATGTGACACATTTGTTACCTTTTTCTTCTGAAAGGCATTGCATCAAAGAGATTTCAGAGCTCCTTTCCGTTTGTGAATATTTAATGATACATGTAGCGTTGGTGGTAATATCAACATTCTTCAAAGGGATGGAAAGCTCCTGGTTCCGATAACTGTGTGGACCATTGCTGAGCTTCCAAGTGTAATTCAGAGGCCGCTGGAAATTTGCTGTACAGTTTAATACAAGTTCACTATCACTGGTGTTGCAACTTATTTCAGGTTCTGGAAGGGAATCTAGAAGGAGAGAAAACATTCTGTATTACTTTAGTTTCTAAATTCTTTTTACTAGTTTCTAAAACATGCTAATTCCTTTAGTTATTACTTTATAAACTATAAAGAATTTCAGCACAAGACAAGGGCTGGAGCAACAAAAGCAGCAGGAGCGCACATAGACAAAAGTGTGGGGTACGTGCACACGTGCCTGAGAGAGAAATGTATTTCTGAAAGTGACCTGTAAACCATCTGTTTGTGGTTCTCCCATTCCTAGTCCAAGAGTCCTCATGGTCCACCATCCACAGGACTAATAGACACCCTGGTCACATATATTTCCCAAAGATCACTGGTGAGGCTGAGTAGATCTGCACAGGATGATGCCACAGATGTTCAGGCATGTGTAACATGCCTACAGGAATATCCTTAGTAGATATATAATGCCTGGGATTACCTGATCAGCTTGCTCAAAAAGTTTCATTGTCTACCTGAAAGTGCAGTGCGCCACCTACGCACCTTCTAGAAGTCATCCCAAGGTGAGTAACGATGGGCACACAAATGAGATGCCACCTTTGAAAATTTGTTCAAAGTGACTTAAGCAACTTAAAAACAGAGACAAAGAACAGCCCCCTCTGTTTCTGTTTGCTTCCTTGACAAATACACAATGCCCTTTCTAGACATTTTAAAGTGAACAGTGGTTCACGTTCTTTATGCCATTCTTCTAGTGCTTACCTAACACATCAAGTATGAAGTTTAACTGGTGATCTTCCACATAATCCCGGTACACTAACTCATAAGTGCCAGCATCATCCTTCTTCAAGTTAACTATAGTCAAGGATCCATTCTCCGTAAGTACACTCCTGTCGCGGAGATGACCAAAATATGTCGGTTTGTTTTGCTCTTCCCATTCAGCCACTTTATCCTTGTTTTTCTTCCAGACAATTTCCACTATTTTTTGGTCTATTTGTACTGGAAAAGTAAAATTTTCTCCCATGATGCCAACTACTTCCTTATTGTCCTCATGTGCTATAGGGGGGTAAAAAAAGAAAAAGTTACTTCAACAATTGTTTTATAAAACACACCTTGATGCCCTATTCAACATCAGATACATTCAAATTTAGGTTAGAAGCACATGACAAAGTTGCAAACCAAGGTACACATCAGTTAAGAATTACCCAAACCCAGGCTGTCAGCACAATTGTATGACAGGCAAAGGAATTCAGTTTCCACATTCTGGTCCCAGGCAGAATAATTGCCCCAATGATCTTCCCTATCCTAAGCCACTCTATCCTCAGTACTTTCCCTCTGTTCACTTGAATTAGGCTTCCTGCCCATGATCTGGTGAAAAACATTAAATGAAGAATTGTCACCACCAAAATCTGTTTTAGCATCTTGCTGCAGAACGGCCAGACTGAAGCTCCTGCTGATCAAATAAACTGTAATTTTTCCAGTATGAATATTCACAGTTAGTAAAAAGCACACTTCTGACGCAAAACTGTTACTGAGTTCAAAGCTCTGAAGTCATTGGGGTATTAGGGATTTCCCTTGAAATGTCACTTAAGCAAGTTTATTTCACAGCCAGTATGTGTGAAACAACATCCCATCCTCTGAGATCTTGCAGAGCTGTCAGCAAGAATGAAGCTGTTCAGAAACCCCCACTGCTCTCAGCTTTGAATCAACTACATTCTGCTAAAAATGCCAAGACATTACAATATAAATAAGTAAACCACAACAGAAAAGAGATAAGAGATTTCCCTAATTTTCAGTGAAAACAGCTACATTTGTGAGAAAAAAACCCAACCCTAATACTGATCTAACAGACAAAATCCTGCTGTGGGGAAGGGACCACAACCTTTAAACCATCAGCATCTCTGTGTCTCTGCTTCAGTCTTCAGCAACGACCTCCCACTTCTAAACAGCTCCAAAGGGCTCTAGAACAATTGCAAGATCACTGCCGTGGCAGACAGGAACATAGACAAAAACACTTTGGTATCGAGTTCAAGTTACACTTGCATTTAGGAATCAATTTTGGTCCACAATAGCTGGTAACTTTTATCTTCTATATTGAAGGAAGGGCATGGTTAACACACACATGAGGTCTCACATTAAGGCAGGATTCCCAATATGCACCATGTAAAACTTCCCTTTAAACAGTTGCTATGCATGGTGAAATAAATATTTCAGATGCCTACTCCTCAAGCCAACTGTTCCAAGTGACAGCTAGTATTCTGGGTTTTATCTTTTTTTATTTATTCCTAAATGGCATCAATTCCTATATCCTGGCAGACAGAACGTCAGCTAGGCCTTCCTAGCTAGGACAGTGCTCGTCAGCTCTTCTGCCACACCACAGAAACACAGACTTTCTCTGACAGCACAATGAACACAAGTAATAGAAACGCACTTCCGTGTGCTTGGCTAGAGAAGTGCACACCCATGTCTCCTCCGTGCCTTACTTTCTATGGAATACCCAATTTATTTGCAATTTACCCATGAAAGCGCTCTTCTCACACCACTGGAGTTGCAACTTCTTGTTGTCTGCACCTACACGGTCACCTTTTCCAGGCACAGGGATTGTAGAAATAATCAGAGTAAGCTATCAACTCCCACATCTTGTCAACACAACCTACCTGCTTTCTTTGTATTCTACCCTGTTCAGGCATATTTAAGCATTTTACTTGAGCATCTCTTTCCACCTACCTCAATTAATGATTTCCAGAAGAAAAAAGAACTCAGAAATCCAGACTGTGTCTGGAGACCACAAGATTGCAAGGTGCTGGGTAGGGTGGAACACTATTTTGATCTGACAAAGCCTGGAGTCTTGTTTGAGACCTTTGTTTCACAAAGACAATTTCCAGGAGTGCATATTCCTCAAAAAGTCATCCCTTACTGCCTAAGGACCTATGGTATTCCTAGTATGGAGAAAAAATCCCTGCTCTTCCCACTGTAAATTCCACCTCTAGTAGCTTTGGCTCACAGACACAACCAGGCTGTGGTGACTTGACACCAGCAATAGCCAAACCATAGTGGCTGTTGACAAGAGCCTTCAGCAAGGACAGCAGCCGCTTGCTGGGTCCTGAGAACATGAGCAAGGACAGCCACCACTGCTCAGCCAACCACTCAAAATTTCCTACATTTGGCTATTGATCCAGGTAAATGCTCCACATCTTTACTCTCTTTCAGTTAGTCATAAGTGCTAGGCTGGCGTTATGAGAGCAAAGTTACTGCTTCTTCAAGCCCAGGAGTGAGACTGAAGGAAAGCAGAGCTGAAAAAAACACATTTTCTCTCCAAAGGTTCTGCATGGCACAGCGGGGCAGTGCTGTCTTCAGCACACTCTCTTCTTGCTGGCTGGTGGAACAAGGGCTTGGCAGCAAGGAGCTGATGAGCTCCTCCCAAGGGCATTCAGGGCTCCCAGCAGCAGGACAAAGAAAAAGTTACTCCTCAAGGATAACAGTCATCTCCTTCCACCTCAGAACTCCAATCTCTGGGTTTATTTTTGTGTTTCACTGGTCTAGTGAAAATGCGAAGAAGTCTCCCACTCAGTGCCATCAGCTTCCTTTTTTCAAAGAAATCATACAGAAATATTGCATAAGCTCATAACCACTCATCTTTGAGCTTCTGGAAAAGCATGTGTCATGTTTTCTAAGTTCCTGAGAAACCCTTCCCCATCTTTTCTACTTCATTTTATATGGAAACATATTTCCTATTCCACAGTGGTGAGCAAAGAGGGAGAAGTGACAAAAAACCACTCTCTCATACACTCCTTTTGGAAGGCTAGAATTGCCTTTTCTTTAATTTCTCTACTTTCTCCCTCTCTTCTTGTTGTAGCCCATTATTCCGAGATAAAGTTCACACAACAAAATAGTGCTGTGCTAAGGCCTCCAGTAGCCTCTGCAGAAACCATCAGACTACCTGCTCCTGTATCTCCTAAAACCCACTCCAAATTCCTTCTTATGCCAAGTCTTTATGTTCTTTCCTTCCAGTCAAATCACATGCTTAAAGTGGCACAGATAAAGAGGAGCTAACATTGTGTGGGCAAAGCCTCTTCTGCAAACCCACCATCTCACCTTGTCTACATCATCTTCTGCTCTCACTTCTCCAGCAGCCAGACCCACACAACTCAGTGCTGTACTCAAGTTTTAATACTCTCCAGACTAATTCTGACTCTTTCAGCATTTTAGCAGGCTAAAGGCATCCACATACAGTTCAGACTAAGTAGAACCTAATACTCCATTTACCAGCAATAAATGCTTCATTACTGTTTTTGTCTATCTGGTTTGACTCGCTTCACTATTTTTCTTACAGCTGACATAAAGCCTAGTTACTTTGGAGAACATCTGTAAGCTAAGCCCTTTTTTATTTTTAATGCTATCATTAATATTTTTGGTCTCAAATACCTATTTGATATGCATATCAAATTAGATCTGTAGAGATCTATGCAAATAGATCTCTACAGATCTAATTTGATATGCATATAGGTATATAATAGATCTCTACAGATCTAATTTGACTTTCGAAAGTCTAAGACCATTAATTACATTAAGGCAAGAAACTATGAGAAAAAATTTTCACTCTGTTCATCATGTAATGTTAAATAGCAATAGCAAAAATATGGTTTCATTTTGGTTTCAATATGACATAACCTCAGCTCTTGTCAAGAGCTTTTAAGCAGAGGGCAAAGGTTTAGTTGGACTTTTTTCCCCCTCTGTGTGAGGAATTTATAACTGATTATAATTCCTCTGTTTATTCAGGAAGAGTCAAGAGTAAGGGGGCAGGACAACACAAGCAGGTGTCAGCTTCACAGTGCTGATAAGTGATTTTTCCATTTATATTATTTAATATTGTGTTTGACATTTCTATTAGCAACACACAAAATAACCACATTCCACAAACAACCTGAATTTGTTAGGAGTCCAGATTTTCTCACATTCATCACAATGGCTGGTAAGTTCCTGTGACACCTCTCATGGAGTAGAGAGACACAGAAGAAACATTAAGCAACCCCAGTGTTTTTCGGATTTTTAAAAATGTGGAAAGGAACATATATTTGTGTGTACAGAGAGAAAAAAAAAAAAGACAGGAAATTAAAAAATAATAATAAAAAAAGGAAGCCTAAACTTGTTGAACTACCTGAGGACACAGACACAAAAATCCACATTAAGGGAAGTTTGGTTTCTATGCTGGTCACTCTCAGAAGAGGTCTGAAAGAAAAATCATTTTTATCAGCTCTCACGTTATTAGTCTGTGCTCAGTACTGGAGATGGCAACTTCTGCTTTTAGGTAAGCCAAGTTTTCTCAGTTTAACCCAATTTTTATAAAGAAGTTAAATTGAGAAACAAAGCAACCATTAATGCAAACATGCAATGAAAATGGTATTATGGAATCCATCTAAATATGCAAGAACTAGAAGGCACTAATACTGCATAAAAAAGAGTTGATACTCAGAACACTGAAAGAGTTGTGTGGCTTTCAATGAGCCTTACTACAGATGCAGGATGCTTCTAGATGCTCTAGTTCACATATCCAGCTTACTTCCCTTATCCCCTCTGCTTCTGGGGCAGGATCCTGATGCAGCTAAAGGAAGTTTGGCTGCCATCTGCATTGCAACAGAACACCCTCACAAGTGTGGCTTGCACTGTGATCCCCCTCTTGGCGTGGTATTATTGATTCACCTCCTCCAAAGGGAGGACAAAAAGATCTCTCTGTGGGTTCCTTCACCAAACTAGGCAACAGATACCACATTAACTTTCTTTCCACCCACAGACAACATCCAGGATCCCAAATCAGAACCGAGTTTTGTCTTGAACTTCCAACAACTGAAGGAGCATGCTCTTGGTAGGTCTAAAATCAAAGTCCTTCCATAGCCTTAAGGTGAGGATTTGTGCTGTAATTGAAAAGTCTGAGGTTTCATCAGATAAAAAACTGACTTGGCCTGGCATTGTGAAAAGCAGGAATCCCTATGTGGTGAGTAGGAATTCTGAAGACACCAAAGCTACACTGCAACTTCTGGCTTCCACAAGGGAATGAAGAAGGACATCTGCCCTACTCCAAACATTCAGCAACGTGACTGGGACAATTGCAGTGCTTTGAATTTGGATGGAGGAAGTGTTCTGGAGGGGAAGGCTGACAAAGGATGAGGATCTACCAACAGCATCCTGGTGTTTAGAACAGGTGTTTGCAAGGCTAGAAACTTGTGGCCAAGTTGAACTGCTACCAATTTACTTCATGCACTAGATCAGTCTGACTTTCAGGGCCTTGATTTTCACGTGGAGAGATGATGGATTCTTTTACCTTGTTAAAATTAACATGAAATATTTACACATAGTCAACACACATAATACAAGCATACAAACAAGAACATGGTGTGAAACCATGGCTATTTAGTTTAGTGAAGAGCAGTAAAGTGTATTCCCGATCTCCTACCCTAATCAGCCACTTTAGAATCAAAGTTTTACAGAGAAGACAACATAACTAGATAAGTTTTTCATTAAAGGAGGACATTATGATACCTGTAGCCACAATTACCCTCTCTAGCTGTCCAAGCACTATCACCTCTTCCTTTCAATTGTGAGTTCTTTGGAACCTGGAGTCTTTTTTCTCTAGGCAAATCTATAGCAAGTGGACTGAGATGCTGAGTAGCAGCAGCATGCCAACTTACATTATGCAAGGTAACAAAGTGCCTTGGCTCACAGAGAAAATGACAAGAAGATACACAGTTAATCATGCCTTAGTCACACTCATTTAGAGCTCAGCAAAAGCGCTGCAGGTGAGATAAGAAATTGCAGCTAAGCTTAACACAGGCAGACTCATGCAGGTGTGCAGTGTCCTGGGTTCTCCCCAGTCCTCCCTGCACACCGGGACCCCCAACACTGTCTTACAGAACAGGAACTCTCCATATCAATTAAATAAAGCAAATTGAAGACCTCAGGAATAGTGTGAGGAGGAAATCACAGGGAGTTTCTCGGAACTCTCAGCAGCAGAGAAGTTTCTTTTTAAACAGGGGGATACAACAGCTCCTATTTTAGGCACATTCATGAAACTCCCAAAAAAAAAAAAAAAAAACCCAACAAAAAACAAAACAACCCAAAGTCAGAAGCAATCCCTTAGACTAGAGGATGATAAGATCTTCATAGATTAAATCATGGGGGTTTTTTGGCCCATCTAGCAATAGCAGCTCGCTCTGATGACAACAAGAAAGTTTGTACATCCATCTTCGATTCAAAAATGAACAGATTTGGTTTATACTCCTCATGTTCACAGCCCAGTGCAAGGGCTACGCGTGTAAGGACTGTGCTCCTAAGGCACAGCGGTGGCATTTGGGTTAAGAAGGCCTTTGACGAGTATTTCAGCAGCAGTTAATGGTAATCATTTACTCGTACCACAAAAATCGCCCGCATCCCCACCCCAATTTTCCCGCTAACACAAGTTTGAAACAAACGGGGCACAGGAGCCTGCCGACAATAGGAAGGGGAGCTCCTGAGCGTGCGGATGGCCGATGCACGGCCCGGTACACGGCCCGGTACATAGCTCGATACACAGCTCTGGTTTGAGGCGCGGGTCGGAAGCCGCCGCCCGGCTGTGCCCGCCGCCCCGGGCAGGGCAGCGAGCGAGCGCCCGGGAACGCCCGTCCGGACAGGGAGCCACTGTCGCAGGGCTCGGGAAGGGCTGGCGGCCCCCGGGGCAGCTCCCCGGGCACGGCGGGACCCCCGGCTCTCCCAGATCCCGACCCCGCGACACGCCCGTCGGAATGCCGGGGAGCGGCGGCCGCGGCTGCCCCGCTCCCGCTGCCCCGGGCGGCGCGGAGACAGGGAGACAGGAAGAGAGGGAGAAAGGAAAGGGAATGAGTCGGGAAGGGTCCCCACCGCCCTCTCACAGCTTACCCAGGAGGGGCGAAAGGCACAGGAGCCAAGTCAGCAGCCACATGGGTGCCCCCACACGATCACTGCGCGGAGGCAGAAACCAAAAGCCGGCAGAGCCGTGCCCCCTGCCGGCGCAGCCCGGCTCTCCGAAACGCCGACGGCAGCTTCCGCTGGGAGGGCCCGAGGGCGCTTCTCCTGGGAACCCCGGGACCCTGAGGAAGAGGAGTTTCAGCCTCCCGTGCGCCCCGGGCGGTGTCGGATGCTGAGTATGACCTCGGAGTGCCAGCCAAGGGGCTTTGTGGGGCGTGGGGCGCAGCTCCAGGAAGTGCTGCCGCAGAAGTTGTCGTGTTGCTCGTACATCAGGGAGGTTCGGCTGTGGTAATTGAAAACCTGAAAGTAAATCAATTTATTGTGTTTGTGAGCTACGCAGATTAGGTGAAGAACGAATTTCAGCAGGCGGCACGCAGCCGCCCCCTCAGAAAATGATCACAGAATAGTTTTGTCAGTTCCAACCTCTCTGCCATGGGCAGGGACAGCTCCGGCTCCTAATACTCCCTGGAGCCTGGTGTTTGACCACCCTTGTGCTCCCAAAAATGTCCACTGTTCTCTTCGAGGGAATATCTCCTTTTGAGGGGTGGGCTCAAGGCTAAGCCTGGCCAGGCTCTCCTGTTCCACCCAAGGTGAGATTGATCTCTGGGGGAGGTGAGTGAAGGAAACGAAATAGAACAGAAACCGACTCTGACTTCTAGGGGTTTTCTTTGACTCCATCTGCTCAGCAGCCCATTCACAAAAACTCAAACACACTTAGATTCCCTTTCATGAATGGATGACTGGCCTCTTGACACCACTAAGTGGTTTTGAGGAAGAAGGGGAAAATCACAACAGTTTGGAAAACATAAGTACTTGGCATAAGTACTGAAAATTTGCTGCTCTGACAAATATTCCAGAGGCAGCTCTGAGTCAGGTTTCCTCTCATGGCAGTGAGTTGCTGTGAGTGGATGCTTCAACCTCCTTCACCTGCATCCCACTCTCAGTGTATTACCCTGGCTTTGAAGAGTCCGGGTGCAGAACTTACAGCCCCAAAGCATGCTCAGCTCCCAGCAGCTTGTCTGCCTGTCCTGGGGAACACCAGCACAGCACAGTGCCGTGAGAGAGGCTCTCACCATAGGTTTATCTCTCAGCTGGATTTCTCCCAGTATACCTGGCCCCCACATTCACTGATGAGCAGCTGTGTCAGACCATTCACCGCCCCTTTGAGAGACTCAGCTTTGCACTTCACACAACACAATCACAAAAAGAAATTGGCAGGCATGGATATCTCTAAGCAGAAGTCCTAGCTGAGTAAACAGTGAGGTTATTCCACCTCTGAGGAATTTTTTTTTGTCCCTTCATTTTCATACTGTAAGCTGCTCTGACTCATCACTGAAGGCTGCAGCGTGAGCTGGAGTGGCACTGCATCTTGAGCTGAGCAATACTGTCACATTCAGTTCTTACAAAAACAGGATAATACTGATCCCTTCTCCATAGCTGTGTTGGAATGCCCTGACATGTAACTCACAAATGGAGACAGGTCCATCCCATAAATTCCTTCTGCTCAGTGACAGAACCCACATGGAACATTTCTGTCCCTCAGGTACATTTTTCCCTCTGTTCTTAATCTCTGACAAGTGTCAAAGGGAGCCTCCTACCCTGTAAAGGCTCCGAGTCACAGTGTTTACACCAGAAATGTAACATGGCCATCTTCCTGCAGCACTCTCATGGCAGGAGCATGTTCTCTGCTGCTGACTCATCCTCTTCTCAGGTAAAATGTCCTCCCAAAATGCCGGAGGCTTTGGATTGAACCTTGTTGCTGGGAGGATGCTTGCACACTACAGCTTTCCTGTAGGTCATGAAATCTTTGAGGTTAGGAGAGAGAAATCTGAAGCAAACAGTTTCACTTTGAGACAGGTTATTTTAGGGTGGAAGGAACCACAGGAGGTCACCCACATGCACTTAAGGCAGGCCTGTGTTCTTCCTACTGAGCTGCTCCACGTTGTAGAAGCACTCAGGGGCTTCTGCAGGTTAGACAAACTGAGAGAGAAACTTGAACCTAGAGGCTGGTGCCCTCACCTAGGAACTTCTATTTGGTGATACATGGTAAGGATGCATTCTCCCTTATGCATACTTATACAGGCATACCAGGTGGAAGATCAGAAAGTGCTCAAAAAAGGCTCAGATGGCTGGTTTTCCTCCTTTTCTGACAGAGTACCCAAGCAGACTTGCCCTTCCTCAGCTGCCAGGACAATCTTTGATGTTTACTTCCTGCTCTGTCATTGCTGGGACACACTTCTGAAAGCAGGGAAGTCAAATTGCTTTTTGTTGAGATGAGAACTAATCCTGGTTCCTCTGTCAATCTTGGGAACAATACACAGGAGTCTGCATGCTTAGCACAGAGCCATAGTTTCTACTTCACAGACAAATGACAGAAAATGCAGGAGCTCTGAGACTAAGTATTCCAGCAGTAGCAGGGATCCAGAACTTAATGAACAATGAGCTAAGCTCTGGATGTATTTCATGCCCTTCTTTGAGTGCAAAGCTCTCTCCACAGGGAGAGGTTTTAAATAGCCGTCATTTGCTTAGCTAACACTTGTTTCCCCCAAGGTCTGGTGCTGCTAACCCAACTACATTGTTTCCAGTATCAAAAATTAGTTTTCCAGGCTAAATGAATTTTCCTGTGATCAGATTTCCTTGACCATTGGGTGTTTGCAGTGCTTATGTTCCTCTGCCAGCTGTTGCCTTGTGGGTGGGGACTCAACACTTTCAGCTGAGTTGGGCACTTTCAGCATTGGCTTGAATGTGCAGACAGCACATTTTTAAATTTTTCTTTTTAATTAAAAGAATATGTGCATAAAATCAAGTTTGTTTGCTTTCACTATCCTTGGCATTCTCAAGCAAATCACACTGTGCTTCATGACTGTGTGCTGTAAGGGAGTGTTAAAAGAAATCTGAAGTGATTTGTAAGTCTTTGCAATAGTGCTCCCATTGCCATCATAATCACTTCCATTGGGAAGCAAAATAAGTGGCGTTAAGTTTCTGAATTAATATAACTATAATTACTCTGTAATTAAGTTCACAAGCAATAAAAAGAAAACCCTTTATACCAAAATAGCTTTACTAGTATGATCATTTTAAGCACAGAGCAACTTGAGTGGCTTTTGCTGTTTGCATAAGGAATTGCCACGGTGTGCTGCTATAATAAAATAAAAAAAAAAAAATCCCAGGAATTAGTAAATCTGAGAATTCGGATTTAGTAGGCAATTTAAAAGACATTTCTTTTTAAAAAAACCACCAGTTTTGTGCATTTGCAAAATTGTTAAACAGCAGGATGTTGTTTAACAGCTCAGCAAATACACTAAATAAAACCAGATCTGCAAATCTTGGCCAAAGTTATGTTTAACTCTAGAGCTGTAATACTGGTGCCTGCTTTATATTACAAGTAATTTCAAAATTTCCATAGGACTTGGCAAAGAAGGAATGGGCCCATTGGAGTGCACAGGCTTTATCTTACAGTCTGAGAATTGTAAGATAATAAGATTAATCTGATGCTGGGGATGAAAAGATGAAGCATTGTCTGGAAGCCAGGAGATGGCTATTGGCATTGCAGTTTTCAATCTTGGAAAATTGATGTGGTTGACAAACTCAGGCACGTATTTGTGAGACACTGAGGACCTGCTTCTCTGACAATAAGCCAGCTTGATCCTGGAGGCAAGTATTTCAGGGTCAGAAGGTATCTCCATACGTATCTCTGGGAGGATGCAGTTGGAGTGGGGGGCAATAGTCCTCCAGGCCAGGCAGCTGAGGCTGCCTTACTTTCAGTGAAAACTGGAGAAATTTATCTCAGAAGATTTGGAAATAAGATGAACTTCTGCCTAAAACAGCCCCAAAGCCTTCAGCTGGAACAAACTGGGGTAAGGAAATCATTGCTATCACCAATACCTCTAAAGAAAAATACTCTCTGATGCTTTTTGAAATGTCTTTGGTTATCTTCCTGATCAGACTGAAGAAATTTCTTCATTTTATTGTTCAACTAAGCCACTGTAGGTTAGTACCTGGACAGGGAACTTTGCTCGTTACCCTTCCTGCCATTTAGCACAGCAAAGCTGCCTTGTCCAGCACGACAGACCAACACAAAGGATACAGGTGTGTCCTTACCTGAAAGTCCATCTCAGCCAGGGATGTGGGACCTCCACATCATCAATGTTGTGTTACACATCTGGGCGTGCACTTCTGCTTCTCCATCTGTATACATCAAAGTGGAAAAGTTTTTTATTCAAAGGTCTTTTTGAGGTATTTGAATGTTCATGATGCTGGTGCATTACTGAAGGGTGCCCCAACCCTAAAAAATGTAGTCTGGGCATGTTATGGTGATATGACCACCAGTTACATTTTAGCCTGCCTTTCCCTCACTTTTCAGATGTAATCCACTGTTTTCCCTTATTTAGACTGTTACAGGTATCTGACCAAAAGCAGAAATACAGGAAAGACAGCAATGCAGCAGGAAAATACGATGCAGGGCTGATATGAATCTTCCTGGCATGGACTCACTGTGAAGCCTTGTGATAAACCAGCATCCCTAATCAGAATTTGGCAGAAAGGCCTAGGTAGCAAGGATAAAGCGCTGTAACTCTATCGCTTGCTGGGATTGGTTTCACTGGCTGATTTCTGAAGTGAGAAGTTTCCCTTGAGGAAAGGGAGGTAGGGAGGAAAGGAAGGTCAACATCTCCTTTAATGAAATAGTCAGTGAAGCCTCTGCGTCAGATTTTGACTAATGGTTAAATAAGAGCAGAGGTAATTTCTCAAAATCCAAATTAGGTCATTTTCCCAAAAGTGCACAGGCTGATTGATCATTACAGAGTCAAGCTGATCATTAACCACAGCTGTTTTCCCCTGCACAATCCTTATACTTTTGTTGGCCGAACAGGAAGATGGTTGAAGATCCGAAGAGAAAACTGCTCATGGTTATTGCTCTCCTCTTGCTGCCCAGCTCAGCACAAACAGGTAAGAAAAACATAAGTGACTGGCAAGGGATTGAAGGTTTTACAGAGAAGGATCTGAATTCAATTCTCCCTAAACAAGCTGTATGTCAAGAGGTCCTGGCAATAACCTTGTTAGGTGCGGGGGAGAAAAAGTAGTGCAAGAATGGTCCTTTCTTCTCTTATTTTTGATTCAGTCACTCTCAGTGACTTAATTCCATTTACCTGATTTACAAGAACGATCCAGGTTTGCCCTGAAGTGTAAGGATGCAGAAAAGGGACCACTTGGCCTCTGGCAGTGGCATCTTTTTCACATTGCTTCAAAAGGTCAGCAAGTGTGATCTGCAGTAGCTGAGAGAAAAATAAACAAATGCCACACTTCCATTTCTTTCCTTAATCGTACTGTCAATGAGACTCCCTTAGTGATCACATCTACAGTCCCACATCACCTGCAGCTTCACTGCAGTGCACCTCCTGCCTTACCTTTACTCATGATCCCCCTCATCTTATGCCATTTCTCACGCACTGTGCTGGCACTGGAACCACTTTTGCTACTTAGACTGACTCATGGCCTACATTTTTTCCAAGCTGGTCTCTAAAAATATCTCTTTCTTCCTTGTCAGTGCACAGGAAGACCAAAATAAACAACAGTGAGGGATAGTCACATCCTTCTAGGGTAATCTGGATATTGAATCTCACCCCTTTGTGCTGACCTGTAGGCTGTGTTTTGTCTAACTGGTGTAAAGTATCTTCTGAGGGAAACTGGAAAGCTGGTTGTTTGATTTAAAAGTACATAAGTGAATAATTATTTTATAGTATATCAGATTCAAGTCCTCCTCCAGTCCAGAAAGGGAAGGTGCATGTATTGTCACTGCAGCAAGATGCCACTATGCCAGCTCTAAAAGTAACACTGCTAGTGACACATACTGCTGAACTTCTGTGCTTTTTGTCTAGCCTAAATTTGCTCAGGTGTTTTACTAGCTACAGGTCGGATGTTTATTTTTTTCTGCCTAGGACAAAGTTGCTTCCAGCAGCAACCTCTTCCTTCTCATAAAGCATTTTCATCAAGTAAATGACTCAGTTGTGAAATTATCAGTGACATATTTTTTCATCAGCATTCTCATACTTATTTCTGGATTTTTGATGCTATTGTCAGTTAGACTTGTACCTTCTACTAAGCCTACCAGAATTTGAACAGAAGTATCCCCATTCAGTGGTGACTACCTGTCAGCAACCATTTTTTTAAAGATCTGCCACCTCATAAATATACTTAGTACCTGGTGTAGGTGGCCAATTTGCTTAAAAAACGAGCAACATATCACTCACCTCATGGTAAAACAACTCTCAGAAGTCAAAGCTGGTATTATATCCATGGTTATTTTCCCAGACAGAACTGGTATTTCATCAAAGGACAGAAACAACTTTATCAGTTGGGTAAAGTTTCCAGATTTGTATCATTTTAATTTATGCTAGATACTTTTAATCTTTATCAACAGAAGTGAAATTGCTACCTTCATTTTCCTGTTGAATTAGAATAAGGGGTGTTTTTTTCCCATTGCACAGACCCAGACTAAATGTGCCACTCCCTCCCTCCTGTGCAGGGAATACAGACAGACTCTCAGAGCATCACTGCACAGACTTCCAGAGAGCCAGCCTTCTACGGGGCAGAAAACTTAAGGTCCAGTTTCTTCTGTTCACCTCCTTGAGCCCCAGCTGTGGAGAGCTGATTTCACCTGATGATGGCTTCAAGAACTGCAGCTTCAACAGCAGCCTGGAAACCAAAATCATCATCCATGGCTTCAGGTGAGAGAAAGAAGAGCACTGTGACTAAGTTTCCTCTGGTAAATTAAACACTGCGCGAGCATTCCCAAACACCAGGTGGGCTGGCGTGCAACTCTCCTGCTTGTGTGACCTTCTTGTCTCCCCAGCAGAATGGCTGCATGAAAAACAACTCCTAAGAGCAGAGACTGGGATTCTCAGCCCCAAACTGGACCCAGGAATTTTCTGGGAGGCTGTTGGTGGAAAATGCTGCTGACACCCCATATTACAGCACAATTTGAAGTCCTTTCATTTGTGACCAGTTGCCTTTTCTTGTGCTTCACACCCTTTGGAGCCTAAAAAAAAAGTTAGAAATTAGCATTTGATCCCTCCCTCCCTCCCTCCCTCTCTCCCTCCCTCCTCTTTTCAACATTTTTAGTTAAGAAGTCTTTTCTTTAAGATTCTTGTCCCATTAAATTGTCTTCTTGGATTTCATGCTCAATAGCCTGCATTAATAAGCCATTTAGAACCACAAGCAGACATATTATCCTTCTGTTCTTGAAAGTGTTGGGATTGGAGCTGGTTTGTTTTTGTTTTTGTTTTTGTTTTTTTTTTTTTTAACTGCCATCATTCTGCAAACTTTTGTGCCATTTTTCAGTCAGGTGTGACCATATAATATTTTTTGTTTTGAAGTGTGAATGCCTGAGTAGAAATTGAATAGAAAACCAGGATGAAACCACAGCAGATCCTGCAGGGTCTTTTCAGAAAACCAGCCTTTGAGCCTTCAAGTGAGATAGCACACTCTTCACCAGCTGGCATTAGGGGAACTGGGAAGAACAGAGCCTCCTTTGTTTGAGGAACAGCTAACATCCTTGTCTCTGGTGACTCCTCAGGGCTTTGGGTACCAAACCTTCCTGGATTGAAGGGCTTGTCCAAGCCATACTGCACACCAGCCAGGTGAATGTGGTCGCAGTAGACTGGGTTTATGGGTCTACAGGAGCCTATCCCTCCGCAGTGGAAAATGTCACACAGCTGGCCCTCGCCATCTCACAGTTCATCAGCAAGCTCCTGGTAAGCTACTGTGCATTTCCAGTGCAGGGAGCACGCCTGGGGAGCTGCTCCTAACCTGCTGTATCCAGGAGTTGGACAAGTGGATTTTTTTATTCCAGATTTTTCCTTTTTCCCTCTTTCAATTCAGGCTTGAGCATGCCACCATTTTTCTTCTTCCTTTGGAGTTTTGACATTTTCTGGAGTAAATCCCAGTTGTCAGCTGCCTCTCCGGTTCAGAACAAACCTAAAGTCTGCCTTGGGTCTTCTCAGATCCATATTCACTGGACACTCTTCTTCTTCTGCTGAGAAATTTTGTCCAGGAAGCTAGAGGGAGTGAGATTTGAGGCTATATTATATTTGCTCTGGGCTTCAGATAAACTTCCCACTATGTGGAAATATCCAGATATGTCCCGTTCTGTTCGTGCAAAGCACAGCTGAACAAGACTTCTGCAATCAGGGTGAAGAATCCTTGTGTTAACCAGCTAAATATAAACTCTAAATGAAATGTTTGCAGTGCTGACCAACCTGTTTAGGGCTGGGTTTGCATCCGTGCACCTGAAGAAAGGCCCTGAAAAACATGAAGTGCAATACCCATCATTTCCTTAAGTATTTGGTTTCCCACTGTACACCTCAAAAACAATCATACATTAGGAGAGTTATAGAGCTGCTGTGTGGGCTGGGACAGGGTATGTCACCTTTCTGCTACAGAAGCAGTAATTTGTATTACTGTCACCCTGCAGGCCCTGGGAGTCTCCAGGACATCTATCCACATCATTGGGGTAAGCCTCGGGGCACACGTCGGGGGCCTGGTGGGGCACTTCCACGGCGGTCGCCTGGGACGGATAACAGGTATCACCCCTCTGAGTCTATCAGCCCTCACCTGCCCTTCAGGAGAGAGAATGAAAGGGCAAGAAAGGGGGGGCATTCAGAGTGGTCTTTTAATTTCAAAAGGGCTCACTAGATCCAAGCTTATGGGCTTCTTCCTAGATTCTGACAGCGCCTTTCCAACATCAGGCCCCTCCATGCTGCCAAAAGACCACAAGTATTTGCAAAAAGGTCCTTCCACCTCTGCTACACTATTCAAACTGGTGCCAGCTTAGCAAAGTACAAGCCCTCATGACTAGTGAAAGCCCACAACACTCATAAGCTTTGCTTCCAAATTATAGCATGTACATGTGGTTCTTAGAATTTAAGCCCACAATGCAATTGTAGGGGGAGCAGCAGGAGCGAGCTGCTCTGCAAGAAAATGTGAGCTGAGAGCCAAGGGCACAGTAACATGGGCAGTGGCCTCACAGACAAGGGATACAGTCCTACTGTGTCTGGGCAAGAAGAGCAGAGCAGTCCAGTGACAGGAACCAGGGTCAGGCACAGTCCATTTGTAGTGATAAGGCAAGCCCAAGATCAAGCTGGGAAGTCAAGTCTGGACCAAGCAGGGCCAACAAGGCAAAGGCCAGGGCATGGCATCCCTACCACACAGCTCAGGCAAAGAACAAATGCAAGAGCCTGAGCCAATGTTGGGAGGATGCAGATGAGGCTCCTTGCTGTTCTCCCCCACAAGTTGGCTGTTCTCCCAGTAGGCTGGTCTAATGCCACCAAACTGTACCAAATCAGAGCTGACCTTAAACACAGTCAGACTCCTGAGTGTGAGGAAGAGGCTCCGCTAGGGGAATTGCAGAGCAAAATGGTTATAGGCTGATCCTGTCATTCAGAAGTTTTGATGCACTCAGGACCTGTTCAGCCTTTAGGTGTGAAGCATGAATAAAGTCACGGAATCATTCAGGTAAGAAGAAACTTTGGAAGGTCTCTAGTCTACACACCACCACCACCATCACCCCTCCTCAAAGCGGGGCTGCATTGTATGTCATAGCAGATTGCCAAGGGTTTTACTAAATTCTGGGTATCCCCATCAACAGAGATTCATTTTGATAGGAGAGGAATGCCACCTAAGAAGGAACAGACAAAGTCTCCAGCAGTGTGGCCTCAGCCCATGCTGGTCTGTCTCACAGAGGTATCCTCAGGAAGGATCCTCACTCCACTCTTGGCTGGGCAGTCCAGAGAAATGTTAGTTCAGTTTTCACAGCTACCCATGCTGCATGAAATACAGGCATTTCTTAACAGGAAGTGAATTTCACGTTGGGCCCTTGTTAAAGCTGTGAATCAAAGTTTACATTAGGAGAAAATTGGAGTAGCCTCTGTCCTGCACTAGAATTTTATGATCAGTGATGTCTTCAGATGAGCAGAAGCAGACACATTTCCATGAAACCATGGTAATTAACTTCAGAGTTAAGGACTCTTCCCCTTTATGTTGTCCACATGTAATAGAAGCTCTGTAGATTTTTTTATTCCATTTTTAACTCTGCTCGAATACAATCCCTTTTCTACATTCCTGTTTGTCCTGTGATTTCATAGGCACACTGGGCATTGCAGACTCCAGTTCAGATTTAGGAGACTGAAGACAGGTTGGGTTAGACCCAAGATATGCCTGATCTCTTCTGCCTCCTCACAAATTCCTCACACAGGAATTTTACTCCAGAGCCACAATTTGCTGAAGTGTATGTTCGTATTAGGTTTCTGCCTCCTCACTAAGAATTTTATGCCACACTAAATAACAGTTTTCAGTATCTTTTAAAGCTTTTAACTACAACTTGGTCTGTGGAAGTGGGTGGGGAACCTCTCAGATTTTTGTGCTTATCAAGATTAAAGAGCACTAAAGTCTTATTTTTAGCTTTTATTTACAGAAAGAACACAAAATAAGGCTTTTTCTTTCTTTTCCTCTCCCCTCACAAATGCCCATTTGTATATTGTTGATACTGCCTTCTCCATAGAGAATTAATGAGGCCAAGTCCAAAGCTGTGAAACCAGCCAGCTCCAAGGTTAATTGGCACATGGAGCAGACCTGCTTCCTAAACTGTTGTTGCCTGGGGAGTGAAAAAAAATGTCTTGTGAGGTTACTTTTCTATAAAACAAGAACAGGACAAAAGTCAGGAAAAAAAAATTAATCTGCTTCTTGGTGTTGCCAAGGACACTTTTCTGTGTTCCTTTGAGTCCACAGAAGTTGCTCTAGGAGCAAATTTTAGGCAAAAATGTAGGTGATTGCTAAAGACTCAATTTTATTGGTGGGGAAAGGGCTCAGAAGCCTCTTTGGTTTAAAATTGTTAGGTATTATGAAACTTCTGTAATTCCTGAGTTGGTTAATGCCTGGGGTGCTGAATTCACGAGGTGACTGCTGATCTGCAGTGACATTTCTCAGACTGTAGTGCTCATACACACGACAGTACAATTTGGGAAAGCATTAAAAAGTTTGATTCTCTTTCACCAAAACTCCAAGAGAGATTATGCACCCTCTCTGTTAGAGCTATTTAAGCCTTTACAGCATAAAACCTTTAGTTAAAACACTGCCAAAGGGTGCAGAACAGTGGGAACAATGCAAGGAAGCTGTAGTGGAAGTTGTCTCTAGCAGAAACTATTCTGGAGCTTAATTGCTGAGACCTGGGAATAATTTATTATATTTGCCTAGCACTATTTTTTTAAAGTCCTAGATAAAATAACTGGTCCAGAAATAAGAAAGAGAGGGGCTGAAGAGTACTTGTTGAGGTGTTTGATTTTGTTACAGCCCTGGATCCTGCAGGCCCTAAGTACACCAGAGCCAGCCTTGAGGAACGTCTGGATCCTGGGGATGCCCTCTTCGTGGAAGCCATTCATACTGATGCTGATAGTAAGCTGGCTTCCCTCTTCCACAGCCTGGCCTTGTGTTCCTCCTGGCATCGTTATTGATAAGGAGTCTGTAGG